ACAAGATAAACTTCCAGCTAACCAAATCTTTGGGATGAAGAAAAGTATGAATTTTAATGCATGAAGACAAACCTCCTGTTCTTCCCAAATGCCACTGCTCACTATAGTTGGTCCCCACTCCCCTGCCCAACTCCCTTCCATGGAGCACCACAGTCAACAACTCCTCAGATACCTTCTATTGGTGAACATTTTTTTACAGTGCTGTGCTCTGAACAACATACAAACAAATTACTCTGGTCCAGGGGGATGGTGTGCTTAACTGAAGCTGTTGAAGGTGACTTACTCTGCAGATGTCACTAGGAACTGTTCATGTGTTTCAAAATTAAGCCTGCGATGAAAGGCTTTGCAGGATAAGGGACTGAGCTCCCAGTGTTTTCAGGATGAAGCCTGAAACTGGCAGACTTTTACTGTTGCAAATAAAGCCAATATCAAGAGTAGCTTTTCAAACTCTTTTACTGGGAATTGACTTTTAAAATAGATTTATTCAGCAGGACTGAGAAAGCACTGCATCACTAGCCATTTGGGACAATATTGCTTCATAAACACATACGGGATGATATCAAAATTCCAATTATTCAACTCCGAAATTTTCATTCAAAAAGCCAGTATCGTTTTGGGCTAAGTTAGAAATTTTTTATTTGTTTTTAAATTCAAAGTTAACTGTCGTCATAAAACAGGAACACGATTTTGCTTTAGATTTCCCTGGGGATCCTTGCCTTTAGCCAGCTATGCTCAAAAATAAGAGAGTACAGGAATTTTTATCGCATGTGTGGAAACAGGAAGCAAGTAGAATTGCAAATTACAGCTGGGCAATCCTTAGCCTCAGGTCCCCCAAAAGATGCATCAAAAACTGCTGTGAAGGCAACCCACTTGGCTTTGAGAAACTGCTGAACTGCAAGTGCACTGTGCAGATGCAAGCAGGCAGAATTTCTTATGAAGGACCTGTGGCCCCCACCTATATACCTTTTTCTTTCACCAGGGTCTTTATTTATTTTATTTTCTAATTATCTGCTTTCTTAGGGGGTGAAGGGAAAACAATCATTACTTGGTGTCTTTTACATTTGAGATGTTTTCATGAATCCAGGATAATTGCTTCCTTTCAGACTGCTAAGGTAGAAACCCTGTAACATTTAATGTAAAAGGCGAGGTTTGATTGACTTTCCAGTGCCACAATATTGTTCTCAATAATACTGACGATGCTGAAGGTCATAATCCATTAATATCAGGGAATTTAATATCAGAGACAAGGAGATAGCTTATAGCTATCACGCCTCTGTTGGGAAATGATTGTGAAAGGTGCTTTGCTGAAGAGGATTCCAGCCTTATGGAAGCAATGGAACAGGCAAATCCAGCAAGTGCTCAGATACCACAGGGTTGTTCATCCTCTTTACTTTCTTTGCTGCTGCATAGAAGACAACAAGTTTGTGCATAAGTACTAGACAGGAGCCTAGGAGATGTGGATGTAATTTCATGTTACAAGGCAGAAAGCATGGCAGTAAATATTAAATCTCTTTTCCATGTCTGCATCTCTTAGCAGCAGCAATTGAAGGGATGATTGATAAAGACTTGAGTTTCTGCCTAGTAGAAATTAATCTTCTAATTACTAGTCGTCTTCTCATCAAGAAAATGCTGATTAAAGAGGCTGGGAAAAGAGCACACAAGAGGAGATCAATCTGCGGTGATAAGAAACTAAAGGTCAATATGACAAAGTGTAGAAGTGCATCTCCTAAAAATGACAATACGGTTGTTCAGCCAACAACTAAGGCATGTGACCATCATTCCTGCATTTCTAGGCTTTCCCATCATGTTTCACTGAGCATAGGTGCAGCCCCATGGACTGAATTTGGCAGCTTCCCTATCCAAGAACATTTGCACCTACCTTCCAGACTTCTGAGCACAGAGGTGCCTTTTTTTTTGTTTGTTTTTTTGCCTCTCTTCATTCAGGAAGGCGTTAAGAGTGTGACATCTAACAAAAACCTATCTAATAGCCCTTTTTTCTCCTTTGACATATTTTTATGCTTCTTAATCAAGCAAGGGAAAAAAATACCAAACCTCCTCTGGGTCCGAAAGATAAATTACTGCTTTAAATGTACAGAGCAGTGTCTGGCTTGAAATGAACATCCAAGGCAATTGCTGTGTTTTAAAAGATCCCTAGGTTGCAGGCTTAATATGAAGCAGTTCTCAGCAGAATGTATTTTACTGGCTTTCCAAATAACAGTCTAACCATAAGTATAGATCTTCTGGATATTCTCAGTGTAAAAGATCAATTACAGAACAGGCAGCTTGATGTTTGCAATCTGTCTTTTAGTAAACATTTTTCTTTCTCCTCCTCAGTTGGAAAATTCCTGCTGGGTTCTGAATGACGGCTACCTTGAGGAGCTTTCATGTTAGTAAAATAAAACAGATGTAACTTTTTTCTTTTTGCTTCCACTGATAAGGATGTTCTAGCAAAATCAGCCCTAGCCTTTCTTCCTAAATGCATTCCCCAGCCAGCTTACAGTAGTTATTTGACTCCTGAAAGTCAGTATTGCCATGAAAAGAGGGTAGAAACACGATACCCATTTTAGCAGTGATCAAGAAGAGATATCATATATGACTGAGGTCTGTATGTTATCAAACTTGAAATATCTGATGATGTTTTGGGGCCCTTTTGCCATTAAATTCAGTTTTTCACTATTGCAGACATCACTTTACATAATACACTTCAGACTCCACCTCACAGGAAGTGCAGCTTTTTGCTCTCATTCCTCCTACTGGAACACCGCTTAAAAACTCGATTACTTCAATAGCTAGGAACATTCTCAAATATTGACTCTCAGCGTATTCATAGGCAGTACACACTCATTTGCTTTTGGGCCAACATTATTCTGTAACTTAAACATACCTTTTCTTTCCCTGATCTTCATCCCTCTGATTCATGTATTGACACCAGTCCCAAGGCCGGGCCTTTTCTCCCTTTTTTGCCTTGTTCTGATAGAATGAGCTGTAAGCATCTGGAAGTACAAAATTCGAAACGCTTTCCTAGAAAGGTTGAAAAGGTGGTCGTGGGAGTTAATCTGCAGCAGCTGTTGTGCTATACAATGGGAATTTCTGTCTAAATGATTGTTCTACCTGAACACAAGGAGGAACAACTTTACTGTGCAAGTGACCTGAAAGACGTTGCCTGGAGAGGTTGTGGAGTCTCCCTCACTGGAGATATTCAAGAACCATCTGGACACAATCCTGTGCCATGTGCTCTGGGATGACCCTGCTTGATGAGGGAGGTTGGACGAGATGACCCACTGTGATCCCTTCCAACCTGACTGATTCTGCGATTCTGTAAATATGATGAAGCCTAGAAGAAGTATCTTAAGGTCAGGCAGTCCTCAGGATTCATAAGTCCTACAACTGCCAAATAATGAACTCCTGAGCTACATCTCCATCAGCTATGCACTTCCAGTGAGTGTGTGTGCGAGAGAGAGAGAGACTTGGGCATACACACTGACAGCACATGATTATTTAATACTCAACTGATAAAATCCAGGCACTCATCTCCTCAGTCATTTCCAGATGATTCATAGATTTACTTTGTTGTTAGGCTGAATCCCATGGCACAAGCTTCTACATACTGTGTTAAGGTGATGATTTACATTCTGTTTTATTGCAATGGCCCCTTAAAACTTCAGCACTTGATCACAGATGAGAGAATTTGCTTAATGGGATTAATACACAACAGTACCATTGACCGGTTCAGTGCACCATCTTCTTCCTGACCAGAAACTCACAGCTCCAGAGACACTCCATGCTTGTCAAATGGAATGTACTCAGTTCAGAGCAAAAGGAGTGTTTTGTAATCCCAAACCAGCTGAAAATTGTGACTGGGCCATCATGAGTCCAACCCTTGTGAAGTACCACTGGAATAACCTGAATTTTGTTTATCTGAATCACAAGTCAAATCAGGAAAGGCAAATTTTAGGAAGCCTAACTCTGACAAATGTAATGTTTCCTTACTTGAGGGTAAGCATGATACAGGTGTGATCCCACAGATAACACCCTACAAAGTGCACACCGTGCTGTGGGTCCAGCCAGCTGGTTTATTCCACAGCACAGACTGTTCTGGCAAGAGTTCTCACCAGGCTGAGCTCAAACAGAACATCTCATTATGACCAAGATCCACCAACAGTCTTCAGGTGATGCTGAGAGACTTTTCCTTCTTCTGGAAAATACTTAAAATCATCTAGGATCATCCCCAGATTGTTCCATTCTCCTGGATGGACAAGTGTTTAAGATGTGACATTTGTGTTTTAGTACAGAGAGACAAATTTAATGGTTGAGATGAAAGTCAGAAACACGGTTCCTAAGGACAAGGAAAGAATAAAATTAACATCTTTTGCTTTGAAAGCATGCCTTTTTTTTCCCCCCAGTTCCCATTCTCAAGGGTATTTGGATCATTTTTACTTATGAGGAAGGAAGCAGATCCAGAATAATTCCTCTAGAAAAGTGAATATTCCTTTTCTAATAATACTTAACACTGGAGAAGTATCTCCATAACTTAGTGCTTTCCAGTTCTATAAGAAAAAACTCTAAAGACAGCACACTGAAATCACAAAAAATAAAGAATAATCTGTGATTTCTTGCCTGAGATCATTCTGTTGCTTTCCCCAGTTGGACCACAAAAAAAAGCAGCTATTTGATTTCTATGTTACACACTGCCTGTTTGTCAGCAGGAAAAATTCAGAGTACTAAAAAATGCTTACTGCTTTGAGAGCAATAATAAAATGTGTGCTTGCCTTCAGATTAGCTATCACTGTTTTTTCCTGCAGAGACTAGGAGAAATATAGAGGTGAAATTCCATGTTGTTATGTATAAAATAGTCTTTAAAGAAGTGCATGGGGAGTTAACTGTATTGATATTAATACGCCTCATGCAGCTAAATCCCTGCTCACTACTTATAAAACATAAAAGATATGAAATTTAGAATCTTGATCATAAAACAAATTAAATCAACACAGTCAACTTTTGAGAGCACGAATATATTTCATTTCATTAGAAAATAATAAGCCATGCTGGCATTTGGACAGCAATGAAGACTGCTTGCTAGAATGTATCTTTTTCACAGCAGAGCATTTTATTCTTCTATCATTATCAGCATGGCAAGATGTCCCCAGTACAATGGTTCTCACACCAGCAGGATTCTCTTTTATTTCCTTCGTGGATGGTGGGAAGCTTGCCATGATTTCATTGCATCTCCAACGCAGTTGTGACAACGTATTAAAATAAAAGACATTCTATTCTGGAATATTTCTCAGCCTAAGGAGAGAAATAGGACCAAGGTCAGAAGGGTAAGCAAGGCAATTGGAAGAGAAATTAGTGGGTCAAGGTGTTGTAATAAATCAGTTTATAACCGGTGAGAAACCCCATGCTTTCTAAGCCTGAATCAGACGACCTGGCTGTTAGACCAGGAGTCAGGAGCTGACAGCACAGTGGCATCAGAAGGTACAGGGGCTGAACCTAATACAGAGTCATGGCAAAATGGGAATGGCTCTGTCTTGAGATACAGCTGAGAGTCCAAGGAAACCCAGCAGCCCCTGCCTACTGGGGGAACACAGCATTCAGCTGCCCAGTGGCAGCTTGCTTTCACAAGGAACAAGATCTCACATCTCCAAAACATCTATTACCACACTGAACTTCTGATTTAGAAAATTAAAATACAGTTTGGCAAGCAGTGCTTGAAAACCTTCCAACCTCTGCGCCAGACCACGCTGACTATCTCATGTAACTGGAAGTCAACAAACCTGAAGGGCCAGCAAGGAGACTGTGCAGCTGGGAGGAAATATTCAGAGAAGACTCTAAGCCTGAGCTTTCAGAAACCTTTTTAAAGAAAGCTTTCAGAAACCTTTCTATTCTCCATCCATACCTCCTGCACTTCTCACACATGCAGAGCTACAGAGGTGATCTCTCAGGCACCGTGTGCTCTCAGAGTTACCATTATTTACTCCACTTCTGAAGTGTCCACTCTTAGGCATTTCTCATCCCACTATTCTTTTATGTTCACCTCATTCCTTACCTAAACTCTTACTTATCTGAAGTACACCATGTAGCTTGGTTTCAATATTGTATGTTCTTCATTGTGCATTTTTATTTCTCTTTCAACTGACGAATTTTCACCTGATAAGTGCTTGTTAAGGGCTTAATTATACCCCAGGTCAAACCAAAGTGACAGCACTGGTCACAGTATACCTACAGTGGATTAAATCCTCTGCAAGAAGTTTAATCACTTTCCCTTTCCACCACTTTGACTGCTCATTTGTAAAATGACTGCAAAATGCTGCCAAACTTCTTCATTCTGTTTCCCTCTAGTGCCTAGGTGCATATGGCCAGTGGCCATCTCCAAAAACAGGAAAACGGGAGGCTGAAAATGGGAGGCTGAAAATGGGAGGCTGAAAATGGGAGGCTGAAGTTCATTTCCAGGCTAAGAAGAAAAGAGATGAAAATGGCTCTGGTCCCGAATGTTTTCCCTGGCACATTTTTGCATGCTTAGTGGCACAGCAGTTGTCTTTCTTTCGTAACATGCACAAAGAATGTATTGGTATTACAGACGAAACACCTTTTATGTGGCTATAAATAACAGAAAACCGTAATCTGTAAAGAAAGGTCCTTTAAAACCCTCTACATAGCAAACTAGAATTTACTTTTTTTTAAAGCTTGATACATTCCCCTGTTTGCTCACCACATTAAAAGCAAGAATGGACAGCTGCAAAAGGGAGCCCTCCTCACCATCACATTCTCTTCACCTTCTGCTTCCTAGGAGAAGCTTAGAATTTGCTCTAAAGATGATGTTGATTTCCTTGCATGTGCCTCATTCTTAGATATAGAATGTACCATAATGTCTCTTCACACATAAATATTCCCCCCAAAAGAAATAATAATTAAGCAGCACAATGTTAGGCACCCTTTTACCATCATTTCTTCCCCTCTAACACAGTGGAACAGTCAACACTCTCTGCTGTGTGCAAGGTGAACCAGAGAGGGACTGGCACCCCTTTGCTGCCTCGGGAACCTTCTTGCTGGATCTCAGAGCCTTCCCATACAGCCTGACACTGGGTTCCTCACCTGCTGCATGTCAGAAGGTGAACAGGAGCAGGGAAGCAACTCAGAAAATGATCCACGCTTCCACTTCTTAGCAACGCCCAACAAAAGTGAGAGGAGGGAGTGAAAATGAGACCCTGTGTAAAGTTGGTCACTCAACACAAGTTGCCATACATTGGATGGATACACTGATGATCAACCAACTGTAGGCTCACTTTTTTTTATTAATGCAAGGGAAATTATCTGCATGCACACACATGCACACACTCACACATATGTCTCATCTGGTCCACTGCCCAGGAAACACATCAGCCAGTCACTCCCAGGAGTCTTGGGTCAGGTACCAATAAATGTGTGATGAATGCTAATGCTAATGTGACGAATGCTAATGCGACGAATGCTAATGCTAATGTGATGAATGCTAATGCTCCCAAAAACTATCACCAGTCCTGATACCTGCATGGGAACCAGAGCACAGTGTTCAGCCACATGCTTTGACTCCACACGTCCTCGAGAACAAACCAAATTGTATGAAGTTGCCTAGTCACAAGTGGAACCTGCTTAGGAAAAGCTCAGCAGGGTAAATGGTCTCAGAGGACCATCAGTCAGCACGTACCTGAAAAAAACAAGAGGGACAAATCCAGGGCAGAAGGGACATTTTGACCTGTCTGTTGATAACTGACAGGTGTAATCAGCAAGGATCACTCTCTGAAGCTTCTCATTCTAGAAAACAAATCTGGCAGGCCAAAGGGATTGCCAATATTTTCTTCAGTGCTGCGATCAAAGGCTGCCTGTCCTGAACTTCTGTAAAGCCTCATCCTGATGGAGTGAGTGTCAGCTTAGCAGGTTTCATTTTGATGCCACTGGCTGGAGAGATTTCTAGGAGCTGTAGCCCCAGGGTCTGTAAAATACATACAGTACATCTTCAGATGGCATGATAAAGGTGTTTGCCATTTCACAACTTTTTTTGGCAATTTCTCAAGCTATCCTTGGCTTTTATATATACAGGATAAAATAGACTTGCCTGTCTTGCAACTTTGTCCGCCCAACAGCCCCATTTCCAGATCCACGTGCCTGCACCCTTCCTTGAGCATAGTGAACCCCCAGGGAGAGTGGGAGAGTTACCTTTGCCATGTCCATCAAACCAACTAGGTTAAAGCACTCACCTGTCAAATGCAGGAAGGGACATGAAATGTAAGGAGGACTCGTTCCCATCATTGTTGTCTCAGTAGCATCACGAGATTCAGGACTCCGGGCTCCCAGACAGACATTCCTCCTCCACTCTTCACCACGCTCTGCTGCAGCAAGGCAAGTGCTTCTGGGAACATGCTGGGGACTGGATCCCAGCTGAAAGTAGCCCATCAAAAATAGCAATTTTAAAACTGAATCATTTTCCAAATCACACTCTAAAATTAATTCCCTTCCTGGCAAGCTCCCTGCAGCTCATCGGTACACAGGCATGCATGGACTTGGAGGATGCGGATTTCTCAGGAGCTGCACCAATCCCATTCCATAGGTTTCTGCACCCATCCATCCATGCATCTGTCCATCCATCCCTCCCCTCTGCACTCTAAACCTCAGCTACAGAATACAGGGGCCACCTCTCTCACCTCAACAGAGAGGTTTACAAAGAGCTTGTCCTCTTTCCTCCAAATTCTTGTCAAGAGAAATGATATGTTGCAGAAATGCCTAACTGGCCATTCAGTCCTTTCAAGAATTCAGCAGTTCACTTGGAGAGCTGAAGAATGCTGATGTCTTCTGAAAGGCCAGGTTCCTGTTATGCTGAACAAGGTGAGATCCAAAAATAACCGAGAAGGTAACTGGTTTGTTGCCTAATAGTCTACACGAACTCAACAGTGAGGTCTGCATTCAGAAATTATCCTTTGTAGGGTCTCAGGAATATCACAGAGCTGCATCACCCTCAGCTGTAGAACAGTAGCTTTCCATTATTAAAATGTACTAAAAATCCTTTGCATGCCAAAACACTGACTGAGATTTTCCCGCACAGAGCAAGAACAGAAAATAAATAAGCACAACTAATGCAGAAAGAGCATAAGCCCCCAGAGTGGAAGGTTTTCCCATAAAATTTCATACCACCAAAGACTGGGAGGAAAAGAAGTCATCTGAATACAGAACTACCTGCACAAGATGCAGGGTGCCTCCAGCTTCCCTTGACATTACAGGCAAGTGAGAACATATTAATGTGATCAGGATGCTCAGAGCATTATACGGCATCAGGCCTTTGGAAATTGGCTATTCATCACATTTAAATTGAATGTAATTGCCAGTGCTTATTAGATCATTCTCTGAGTGAGAGTAGTGAAAGTGAGAAAGTGTATTTAGATGACTGGGCCTCAGGAAAAATTAAAAAAAAAAAAAAGACATTGCATAACTATTCATAAATTAGCAGGAAGAATGCAGGAGTCTCTGATTTAAACAGCAAATGTTTTCTGTTTCTCTTAAACATGCAGAAACATTCTCCTAGTAAAAAACTCCCCTATTTGGTTAACAGTACTCCTGTTTCAACACAGCTTAGCATCCCCTGGCAGTGAGAACTAGCAAATCAAAACCTGCACATGGCTAACTCCTGCCTCTGACCCTGACTTGGAGTCTGGGAGTACAAGATATGGTTCCCAAAGGATTCTCAAGTTCATCTCATCAGCTTCTTCAGCTCTGCTCTCGTGAAAGACAGTGTTACTGACAGAGCAACTAGGGCTTACACAGCCCAGCTACCTGACAACAGTTTCATACCAAGACTCCAGATGGACCACCTGCTTGCCAGTCCATAAGATGTCTTGGTTTTCAACCCATCTGGTTGCAACAGGTAACTCATGGCTTATTAATTTAATAATGGCTTCAAGACCAGTTACAAGCCTGCCTTTTTCTCTTTCCCCTCCCCAAAAGGTCACCTTAATTCAGAGGGGAGACACAAGAATATAAAAAGCCATTTGGGTCACAATGCTGGTCTTTTGTTTCAAAATCTACCAAAGTGCTCTGAGAGGGTGAGGAGACATTAGTAACATCTAAGGCTCCATGGAAACACACATTCTCCCCCCAGTACTTTGCAGTTAGTATACTTTTCACTGTCCCAATCTGTACATAAGTAGGGTACCGGGCAGGTCTCACCCTCTATCCCAAAGTATCCAGGCTTCTACCTTAAAAACAGGCATATTCACTTCTGTTATGGATTGTGACTGAAACCCTTGCTCACAATGCTACCCAGGCCCTGATTGCATAGACTACCAACTACTTCTTCCATTTCTTTTAATTACAGAGTAATACCAAAGAGACTGTCCCCTAAATCGAGTAGGAGGTACAAATGAAGAAGAGGGCAATCTCATTGCCCACAAAGTTTGTTGAGCACCCAGGCTAACCATAAGGCCACTCACTGAAAAGTAATTTCTTTGGGACATATTACAGACAAAAACTACTTTATACAGCCGATACTGAGCCGTATAAAGAGCAACATAAGAACATCTGCACATCAATTCCAGCAGTAACAGTTACAAATCTATTTGTCTTTGGTCACTGTCAAGGTAGAAAATATGTCCAGCTACTCCAAACAAGTTGTACATTTCAGGTCAGGGACTGCATGGCATGTTTACATTCAAACTGCCTGAGACACTTCCAAATAAATACTTGGGACACTTCCATGGCAATACAGTGGCAAAAAGCTCCTAAATTATGTACTTGATATTTTTTTCTCAGCAGATATTTGCTGCAAAGTCATTGGGGACAGGTATGTGCAAAAGCTTGTCTTGGAATCAAGAATACAACTGTGGAGGTCTTGGTATCAGTGAAGTCAAAAAATGTGGTTGCTTGTAAAAATCACTTAGTCAAACTGTGGTTGAGTATTTAAGGATTCTACCCACACACATAAAAAAGATAACTACTGCCTTGAAAGGAATAGCAGTAACTGGGCTGTTTCAGATTTAAAATACCATATTAAATTTTATTCTTTAATAATGAGGTGGGATGTTTAGTATTCCAACCTATTTTCAGACAACAGTTTAATTAAACATTTAATGAATGCATCTCATTTCTTTGCACAAGCTTCACTCTAATCAACTGAGATAATAATGTAAACATCACTATTGGATTATTAAAATAATCCCTTTCACAAACACTGACCTCCTGACAAACAAAATGGCTGGTGCCATCTATACAATATGCCCACAGTGCAGGGGCTCGATTTGAGCATAAAACCCAATTTACAGTTGACCACCAGCTTTTAAAAAAATCCTAGGCAAATGGTTTTAAACACAGTGATGTTTTCACCAAATCCCTCGAGATTTGATTCAATTAATCAAGAAAATTTATAAAAACATCATTCATTTAACCATATAACTGCCTTTAAGAGAGTTGCTCAAGTAGGGATGCAGCAGCAGCTTCAGGATGTTTCCTCAAACAAATCCTGGTATTGGATCAGAGCAACCAAAACCATGACCTTCTTTTAAGCCACAGTCCTGCAGCTCTGAGGGATTTGTATACAGCTAATGGAGCTTTTCCGGGAGTCAGTTACTTTGGAAAGGACCATACATTTTCTGTGGGACTTTAATGCAAAAAAATAGACTTTTTCCCCCTAGCTTTATAACCAAAAAAATCTGAAGTATTTTTGCAAAATGGTGACAAATTTTCAAGACTCCAAGTAAAAAAATCTTAGTGAAATGAGTTGTCAAAACATTTTGAAAATCTGTCAACAGCCAGAATTCTTAGAAACCATGATTCGGTGATGCTTGAAATATTGTCTTGTCCATGCTGAAGCAGCTAATCCACATTCCTTGCTGCTTCAGCTTAGTTTTTTTTTTCTTCATGGAAAGTTACTGGTATGCTTTCCTATCTATTATGTGATTCCTCAAGCTATTCAGCATCCCACCAGCATCATCCTTTCCCAGGCGGGACATCTCCAGAGAGGCCACCACAGAGTCAGTCAGCTTCAACTGCTTGGAAAAGACTCAGCCCCTGTCACCTAAGGAAACAGACAACTTTTTATCCCCATCTATGGCCCTCCCATCACCCAAGAAGGGACAATGAACAGCGTGATGAGAATACGAGTTACACAAACTTTGCTAACTGGCTTCTCACTAAAAACATCGCTGACCTTTCACAGTAGGTGAAATTGCTGAGGACTCCAGAAAACTGGACTCTCCTTTTTCAATGTTTCCAACAGGAAAAATATAAAAGAACAACAACAAAAAAACCCCAGCCAACCAACCAGTCTCATTTCCCCTGCAAACACAAAAGTACCAGGAATCCAAAGCCCAATATCCATCCACAGCAACAAAATTCCTGCATATTCAGGTAAAGTAGCTTAGTTTTACATAATTAGCACAGTGGATTGCATGTAATCATTCCTGGATTACCAGAGTGGAAATTATTTCTAACTATAGTCATTGTCATTAAATGGTCCATATCTGACCTATTATATTAAGCCCTTGATGATCCATGAGAGACTTTCCACTCATTTCAATGGGCTTTTGATTAGTTCAGACATACTTTGCCAATTTTTTTTTCTGCTTCTTTTGCCCTTGAGATCTACTGTTACTTCTCACAGCTATTGGGTTGTGATTTATTGGTTTAATTATTTTATTTTTACTTAGTTTTAGTATTTATAATGGGACACAACTGACACTTTGAAATAGGAGACACTTTTTTTCTTAAGGGTTGCATGTGGTATCGGTTACCTTGAGCACAACAGAAGATGGAAATCTTCTTTGATACTTCTAAACACTTTCACTTCTACTGAAAAAAAATGCTTTAGCACAAAAGCAATAGTGGCAAAACCCAAAGTTTAAACATGCTCGTGGCTATCAAAACATGATACTTGAGTACTTTGTAAACTAAGTATTCGCATTTTGTCAGTGGCCTTTTCCTAGGAAGCATAGTTGTAAACACAAGCTATTTTCTTCACCTGACAAGTATAAACGGTCTGCTAGAGAAGGAGGAAATTCTCCCACTACAGATGTGGCCAAGAGATAACTGCCAGTAATGTGAAATTTCATGGCCAAGCAAAATCTCTCAGATCCAAAATAAGAAATAAATGTGTGAAGAACAGCTATGGAGAAGTCCTAGTGATGGCAAATAGCCCTTTTCTAAAAGACATCAAGTAGCTACCTAGAGACAGCAAATATTTTCCTGTATTAAAAAAATAGAACTTAGGCTATAAAAAAACATAAACCAGGACACAAGCTCCCGTTGCGGTGAGACTGACACAGGTAACTGTAAATCGTGGGGAGGATTTGCTCCTCCAAGCCCAGATCTTTCCTACACGTGTTATCATCCCCTACACACACGTTTGCAGGACTGGCATCACTCCCATCTCTTTGCAATATTTTATCAGTGTGAATTCTCGTTTTATTTAAAAAATACGAATGTAATTATTTACTTCAAGTCTACCAGGGAAGGACTGCAGTTCTTGCTGCAGCGTAACAGATAAGAAAGGCTACAGTGTTTATTCCAAGGCAAACAGCGAA